ATATAAAATTATTGAACGGTGTAATACTTAATAAAAGTTATACTAAAATTATTATAATATTCACACACACAAACATATATATATATATATATATATATATATATATATTAAGTTTTATTATGTTAATAATTACATAATATAAAACATATTACCAATGTAGAAAATTAGCAGGATATTAGTAGATTATTTCTCTTTTCGAAAGTATTGTATATAATTATAAAACTAATTCATCTCATACAGTGAAATAACAATAATAAAAAAAATTATAAGTCACGAGCAAAGTAGATAACAGCATGCAGCAAAGAATATACCCAGCAGTTCTCTAAATGGGAGGGAAATGTATCTATGTTAGTGAGGTGACAGCCCGAAACCTTCGTGAAATTACACTGCATCAAATTTAAAGATATGAAAGTTTGTAATGCATGAGTGAAAAATATTACAACAGCAGCAATAATATAAATATTGTTTTTATAATTTTGTTACTAATATAATTTATGTGCAGTGTTCAATTCTAGTACGATGTTAATATTTAACTACGTGAAGTCATTATAAAAAGAATGTAATTTAAGAATGATTTAGAAAGGGTAAAAAAAATGTCGGAGAACAATAATAAATGAAATTCATATCGTATATATAAAAATGTTTTAGAATAATATAAATACTTACTTATACAATTTATAAATTAATATGCTTTTAAATAAATTATTTACATATCATGTAAACATTTATTTGTGATATGTTTTCCTTTTAGGAAATTTGTGATATCGTTATTAATGTGTTAATATGTAAAATTTTATTTACTTGCAAATAATTGTTATATGTATTTTAAATATAATAGAGGTTAATTTCATTCTACGTAAAAAATACTTACCCAATTAACTAATTAAAAAGAAATAATTATACATTCTTTCTGTATTTTAAATATAATATTTGGTTAATTTTTTATATATTTCCGATGAAAAATTATTCACATGTACATTATCAATTAATAAAAAAAATCATGATTAACACGTAATTTTAAAATAATTATTATAAAGACTAATTAACTTACTATATGTGATTGTTGTAATTAGATGGTTACATTGTTCCTATATTGTCACCTTTTTATATATTAATATCATTTATTGTGATGCAAAAATTTCTCTCAAATTAGAATGAGTTGAAACAATCTGAACACATTTGAATGATGTATAATAACTTAAAAGAATTAATTTGTACTATCTATATTAATAAGATGTATATATTTTTAATAGTTCATTACATAAAAATTTTATAGTTAAGTATGTTTGACTTTGAATAATTTAAGGATGAGTCAGTAAACTTTTGAGAAGTTTCTCAAAAAGCTTGTGAGTGGAAACAAAATATACTAAAAAGTGTTATGTTGGTTTATGGGAACAACTATTAATCTTAGAGACAGTTGAATATCTTAAAAAAAGATTACCTACGAAAGACTGAAGGCTTTTAACTGAAAAGAGTTGTGTGAAGTATCATATGAAGTGTCATAAAATGAAATTGCACTAGGACGTCAAATTTAAGAAGTATTATATAAATAATTTTTGAGACATGTTGAAATCTTTTACTTACCCTAGTAATATATAGAGTTTGAATTCTTTACCTTTGACTTGCATTTTAATCTTCTTATTCCACAATTTTGGACCTACACAAGTGAATTAATGTAACTAATACAATTATGATGACTACTAAAACCAAGGTGATTCGTGTTTTTATATGTTTTGTATAGAAAAAAAAAAAGTAGTATTTTTGTGAAAAAAAATATGATCCATAATTATTAATTGTGAAGAATAAAAAAACCAATTAAAAAAACTAATAGGTAGTTAGTGAAATTTTGGTACTTAAAAAATATAAAATTTTACATATTTAGATAAAATAAAAAGGGAAAAAATAGTTTGTGCAAAAGTGAAAATTAAAGGAGATGCCAAAGTTTCTCCCTTTATATAATGTTATATATTACATTTATTACTTTGTATGTGATTTCTTCGAATAAAGAGTTTCTTGAAACTCACAACCTTGTTGAAAGTATTGATTTTTTTTTTTTCATCTCTGCAATATCTATCATCAATAGTAGTGACTAATTAAAAGTATTGGTTCATCTTGTATTTTTAGTTATTTTAATCATTAATAGGCAAATGATATGACCATAACACAATTTATATAACTCTCGAAGTGAGTATATATAGTTGTGCACTTATCTCTCTAAATTATCACCCTTATATGTAACAACCACATCGTAGTTTCTTGCTAATAATTCCTAAAGTTACATGAACGTAAACCATAAATGGAATCCACACTGAACTTGAAATACAAATACGCAACCTCAAATTTTAACTCACCAATCCAAGTAGTGAAACCATTTTCTACTATTTTTTTTTTTGCATTGATAATTTTTTTTTTCTTTTATCTCTTTCTTTAATCTACCATTTTCTACTAGCATGAAGTTTCCATAAAAATATTTTTCAAAGAGACACTCATAATCGATTTTATTTTTTAAAAAACACATAATTAAAAAAAGGACGCAGAAAATAAAGAAAAATGTATTAAAATGAATGATGTGATAAAAAAAAAGATAAAGAGAAAAATTAAATATATACATTATTACAAAAAAATATATTTAAGTTATCAATGATAAATTATTAATATATAAAATTGATTTATACAATATGTTTTGTCTTTTTTTTAATATTTTTTGTCCCAAATCTCTCGAAAGGCTTTCTATATAAGTATTATATATATATATATAACTTATTTTTTTTAATCTTTAAATATAATGTATATATATATGGAATTATTGAAGGAAGGAAATTTAATTATGTTAACACTTAAAAGAAGAAAAAATGTTAAAACTTTGAGTGTGTAATCACAAAGTTCTATATAATTCAAATAAGATTGCATCTTATTAAAACATACTAATATTTACTAATATTTGTTAACACAAGTGATAACGATTTATGTCTTTTAACCTAAGTTGTTTAGGATTTGAATCTTAACATTGAATATGAAATAATATATATTGAAAGAATAATATTCATCTTATATGTGTTTATGATCCTTGATTGAAATTAGTCACTATATGTTTTATACTGATATCATAGTTGTAAAAAAACCAATATCTCTAAAAAAAATACTATTTTTAATTATTTAAAAAGTGTGATAAATGGTGTAAAAAAGTAGTGTGATATATATATAGTCATTGAATATTTATAATATTAAATAATAGAGAGAAATAATATTTATGCTTTCATAATAAAGAGTCTTACAAAGTTTACGATATTAAATATGTCTAAATATATTTTAAATTCATATTCATATACTTTTTCTCGTTTAATTATTCCTTTTAAAAAATAATTTTAGTTCTTTGACATTTTCTTAGTTTTTTTTTAGTACCTACCATTATCATATCTTTCAAAATATGTATTTTCATAACAAATGAAATATTAAATAATTAAAAATAATAATATTTTAAAGGTTCAATTATCCTTTTAATTTCTATAGTTTAATATTTTTTTTACTTTTTATTTTCTATAATTTAAAATATTCTTTTTTTAATCCTTATACATATCATTTTAAAGTCTTTGTAAAACTTAATGTCTCTAAAAAGTAAATTTTATATAAAAAAATAAAATAAAAGTTATATGTATAAGAACTAAAATAATGAAATATTTTTAATTATAAAAATTAAAAGGTAAAGTTGATGAAAATTTAAAGATAAAAATGGTAATTAAACTTATTTTAAATTAAAATAGCTAGATTATTATTAGGTGCATAATTAAATTAGTTATTCTATTTATTATTTTATATAAATAAAATAATTACATATAATTATTATAGTAATTTTAACATATTATTAACATTTTTTTTTTGCTTTTAATATGGCTTTTACTTTCATATATATGCTTATCAAATTAATTAATGATCTAATATATAAGATTAAAAAAAATCATGTAAAATAACTTATTTTATTTATGATATTACTCATTAACATGAGCATGTAGTTTTACATTGAGAGGAAAAAATTATTTATACATAATATTGTTTTTATATTTTTCCTCCATTTATTTATTATTAACTGCACTAAGTTGGTCCCTAGCTAGTCAAATTGAAGGATTTTGGAAGCACAAAAAATGAGTTGTTGGTCATTTTGGTGCGGTGTCCCTCCTTGTTTCAGAAATGTTTCCACTATGTCAATGCTTGGTTTGAACACAATCTCTTGGTACAAGTACTTATAATCCATTCCCTTTAAAACAGCTTCCAAGACTTGTGTGGAATCAATTTTAGTCATTCTCCACCCAAGTTCATAGTTCATCTTATGGATCTTCAAGAGTTGCATCTCAGCCAACTTACGAGTGTTCTCTTTGGTTCTCACAATGGCATGTTGTAGCATCTTCTCCTTTTGAGCCTCATCATTTATTTCCTTCTCTACAAGCAAATATTCCCCCAGCTCAGGAACCCCAATGGCTCTTCTAACCCCTCGAGAGTAATCTGCTACAGGAGTAAAAGCTTCTCGAATCTCATCAACAACACCTGCATCAAGCATTTCATCCACTCTCTTATCTAAATACTGAAACAACACGGGTAAAGACACGTCAAGCCAAATGAAACAACAATCATATTTGGAACGAAATGCAATGTTGGGGTCTTGAAGCAGTGTTGTGAGGTAAGTGTTTGAGCCTCCAACGATGATGGGAAGGCTTCCATTTTTGATGATGAGATCAAGAGCAACAAGAACACTCTTGCAAAAGTCATCAACAGTGAAGTCATAATCAGGGTCATCGATGATGCCTAACAGGTGATGGGGAATGGCACAACGTTCAGACTCTGACACTTTGTTGGTGATGATGTCAAAGCCTTTGTAGACTTGGATTTTGTCAGAGTTGATGATTTCGGAGGGGAATTTTGTGGCCAAGTTGATGGAAAGCTTAGTTTTTCCTGTGCCAGTTGCACCCATTATAAAGATAACCTTCTTCTTGCCAATGGGTGAAGCTGCAGAGCAAGTCAGAGCTGCCATTAGATGAGATTCTTCAGTATATGTTCTTATATGTTCACACTCACACCACAAGTACTTATTTATATGTCTCTTAATCACATTATCACTTTTGAGTCTATGACAATTATACTTTCTTCTTTTGCACTTTCTTTAATATGCAATTGTCTACTAGCTTGAGGTGTCATAAAAATATTGTTAAAGACACATCGATAATCTACTTCATTTTCTTTTTCAACACATTATAAAAAAGGAGAAGTACATAGAAACTATGTGCTACATAAATGATGCAATAAAAAAAGATAATGAGAAAAAAATAGATGTTTATAAATTATTGTAAAAGTATATTTTTAAATTAATAAAAATAACTTAATAAAATTATTTAAGTCACAAAGTTTTTTATATAAGCATTTTATTGGAACAAAATATAATGTATATATATATATATATAGAGAGAGAATTTTATTAAAGGAAGAAATTAAATAATATTAATATTTAGGGGGCAAAACAATGATAAAAACTTTGGGTATATTGCATCAAATATTCATAAGAAGAATTTTATTATCCATAACAACATTCAACATCAAATAATATTACCACTCATAAAGAACACTTGTAATCCCTAAAAAGTGAGGAAAAATTAATTTTTTAATGCATTTAAAAAGTGTAATAATAAATAGTCATTAATTAAATGAATATAATATTAAACAGTGTTGATAAACAATATTTATACTTAGGTAATAAAGAGTCATTCAACATTTATAATATTATATTTTTTGACCACAGAAAACTTATAATATTAAATTAATAAGAGAAAGAAACATTATTTATATTTATGTAATTAATATTCTTTCAATGTTCATAATATTAAATAATAAAGAGAAATATTATTTCTACTTTTTTTCTTCTTCTGTTCGCACGAATCTTGAAATCAATCTTGAAATTGCATATTTAAGATATTCAAAGCCACTTACTTTGAAACAACACATTTCATTTGATGATTATATTCCTTTAAATATGTTGACTAGTATTTCACTCGTAAATGTATATATGAATTATCGTATCGATGTGGTTTTAATTACATTTTAAACTATTAACACTTTAAAATTAATTATTTTTAATTTTCGTGATTAATTATAATCACAATTAACTTGTTATATATATATATTTATTTATTTATTTATTTTATGCATATATAAATTTTTTTCTGAATGTATTACATATGATTACTTGTTTTTTAATGATGATATAAAAGTGTTTTACATGATAACTAATGTACATATTATTTATTCATTAAATATTTTCTAATCAAATTAAAATCTAAAATAATATTACTTTTGGCCTTTTATATAAATGATTTTGCTTTGGTATAGCTAACACGTATAACTCATTATCACTAAATTAACCTATATTATATATAGTAGTAAAGTAATATTTTTAATTAAGACCTCATATCTAAAGTAGCAATCAAATCAAAGTTATTAGTTAAGAAATAAAAGTGTTAAATTATTTCTTTAACAGCTTTTAGTACGTTATTTTTTTTTTTGAATCATGAGACACACACTATTTTTTTTTTTTTTACGGTTAAGGAAACAAAGACTCATTTAGTCATTTTCATATTTTTCATATCCTTATTTTATTATGAAGTTTATTGATCATGTATCATTTATTTTTCAAACAAGTGGATGCATTTATTTGTCTATTAACAATGAAAATTTGTCTTTTGAATTATGAGAAGTGTTATTAAATGTAATTACCATTTAAGTTATTTAATTATAAAATATTTGTAAAATAAAATTTAAACTTATGTTATTATTAATTAAACTTAGTTAACTTAATTATTTGAATTCATATGAATTAATTATTAGTTTTTATACAAAAATTAAAAATAATATAAAACTAAAATTAATTCATGCAATGCACATGTAAAATAACTTATTTATTATATAATATTACACATTAACATGAGTACGTAGGTCTACCATGAGTAGAAAAAAAAAAATATAAGAGCAATTATAATATAATCCCTCTTTCGCTAACATCTATTTTTTTTTATTCATTTAATATATCTATGCATATTTGCATTGAGAACATTTTCACTATATTTCATTTAAAAACAATTATAACTTAAATGTATAAAATGTGAATTTACTAGACATGCACCATGAGTGATTTTTTTACACAATTCTAATAACTAAAATAAATCACCATTGTTATAATTTTAGATTACAAGATAATTAACTTGTGATTAAATCACGATGTAAAAGTCATATAAGTCATATAGACTAATATTATTTATTGAATTAATATATTTAATTAAATAATATATAAGATTGAAAATAATTCATACAATTGACAAGTAAAATAACATTTTGATTATAATATTACTCATTAACATGAGTAGGTAGGGCATATACAATGAAAGGAAAAAAATATATAAAAGCATTTATAAGCCAATTCATCATTCACTATTAACATCTAATTAATTTTGCTTTTATATATTCTTATCATATTATTTATTATGGACCGCACAATAAGTTGGTCCTTATTGAAATTGAATGATGTTTTAACTTTTAGGTACAAATAGTGGCTTGTTCAGTATTTTGTAGGGGTGTCTTCTCCCATTCCCGAGTTGCCTTCTCTAAAAATCTTTTGACTATGTCAATGCTTGGTTTTAACACAATCTCTTGGTACAATTGCTTGTAATCCATTCCTTTTAAAATAGCTTCAAAGACTTGTGTGGAGTCAATTTTGGCCATTGTCCATCCAAGTTCATAGTTCATCCTATGGATCTTCAAGAGTTGTATCTCAGCCAACTTACGAGTGTTCTCTTTGGTTCTCTGAATGGCATGTTGCAACATTTTCTCCTTTTGAGCCACATCATCACTTATTTCCTTCTCTAGCAGAAAATACTCAGCCAGCTCAGGAACCCCAATGGCTCTTCTAATCCCACGAGAGCAATCTGCCCCAGGCACAAAAGCTTGTCGAATTTCATCCACAACTCCTAAATCAAGCATTTCATCCACCCTTTTATCTAAATAGGGAAACAAGACGGGCAAAGACACGTCAAGCCAAATGAAACAAGAATCATATTTGGATCGAAATGCGATGTTGGGGTCCTCAAGCAGTGTTGCCAGGTAAGTGTTTGAGCCTCCCACGATGATTGGTAGGCGTCCATTTTCGATGATGAGATCAAGCGCAACAGCAACACTCTTGCAGAAGTCATCAACTGTGAAGTCATAATCAGGATCCTCAATTACGCCTAACAGGTGATGGGGAACGCCACCACGTTCAGACTCCGGAACCTTATTGGTGATGATGTCAAGTCCCTTGTAGACTTGAATTTTATCAGAGTTTATGATCTCTGAGGGAAATTTAGTGCCCAGGTTGATGGAAAGCTTGGTTTTGCCCGTGCCAGTTGCTCCCATTATGAACACTACCTTCTTCTTCTCACCAGGTGAAGAAGGTGTAGAGTAATTCAAAGGCGCCATCGAATAGATATAGATAACAAATACTACTTCCTTTATATAACAAATTAATACATAATTAGATTAATTATCTCTTTAATTACTAATTTCACAATTTGAAAGTTTGTTTTAATAATAATACTCAGATCATAGAATTAAATAATTATAATGTTAATTATATATGTATTTAATCATCTTACTCATAAATTTTTTAACTAATAAACACGATTTATAGAATCCATAATTACATCTATATTCATAAAAAATATTCGATAACTCATTAATAAATTTATGGTAAATTAAAGGAATAAATGGATATTATCCATTAATGCATTTTAAAGTAGATATTATACCATAAATGTTGCATATATCCATATATAAAAAGTGTTATTATAAATATAATATTTATAAGTATAATATATGTAAATATAAGTAAATCTATTCTATTTAATATATATCCATATTTTATTTTAATATTAATTTTAAATGAGATTTAATAACATATATTGTATATTCCTATAACATATATTTACACTTTTAACAATTATGAAAATATATTTACTAACATATATTATAGATAAAAATAATTTTTAGTGATAATTATTGTGTTACTATTAAGTATGTGTCATTATAAAATATTTTTTTTATAGTGTAGACTTAAATTTCTTATAAATAAGATAATAATACCTTCATTTTTTTTATTAATTTGGAATTGTAATGAGAGTTTAAATTTTATATACTCAAAAAAAAATTTAAGTGTTTTTAATAAGGTATGAAAAGTCAACTATCAAAATAAATAAATAAATAAGATAGTTACTGATTAATTTTAGTGTACAATAGTCACACTAAAAGTTAAAACTTAGGATGATACACATTGTTTCATTTTTTACTACTATGTCAATTTTAATGGTTAAATTATTATTACTAAATTATTTCAAGCAAAGATCTTATTAACTTTAATGGTTAAATTATTATTACTAAATTATTTTAAGCAAATATCTTATTAGCTTTAACCATGAGTGACTGGTGGACTCAATATTTTTCTCTCCAATAGAAAAAAGGAGGTTTTTGCAAACATGGTTGAAATGTCATGGAAGGTGATAGTAAAAGGAGAAAAAAGACGACAAATTGATTGTATGAAATGCATGATACCTTCGATGCAAATGTGATTCATACATTCATGAAGAATTATATTTAATTAATAACACTAAATATTTAGATTTTAAATGTTTCTTCATTAAAAATAAAGAGTATATTTCAGTAAAAAAAATTCTCAAAAATACATTTAAACTTTTATCTAATAGACTTTATGTATGAAAAAAAATAAAAGAACAAAAATTCAATTTGTATAGAAGAAGTTGCTTTAACTCACCTCTTATGTGGCTTGCGAGGAAATGAAATCAGGTACCCAGCGGTGGATTATGATAGTGGCGAGGTGTGTTATAACTTATATACATCCAAGCGATGGAACTTTGTACAGAAAATGAATGGATTAGAAAAAGTTGCTATTTTCCCATTTTAGTTTTTTTGTTATAAAATATAGAAATCTTTAATCTTTATTCTCAAAAGAAAAAAAAAATGAAGTAAAATGAGATGCATGAACTTTTTCCTATTTTATTTTATTTTAATTAATATAAATAATATACAAAATAATTAATTTCATTTCATTTTATCACTCCCCAGCCACTATTTCTAAAATCATAGTTACTAAAGACCTTTATTTTAATTCATTAAAATTATAATGACAATAACATGATATTAGAATCATGTCTATACTATCTTAATTCTTTATTATTATGTTGATTTTACTGTTTTATATGTTAAACATTTTAGTTTCACATGCACACTTTTTAAAAATATTAAACGAAATAAAATGAGATGCATGACTTTTTCTTATTCCATTTTATTTTAAATAATAAAAACTTTTTTTATTTAATTTCATTTTATCACTCTCTACATGCATACACTAGACATTTAGCTACATGCACACTTTTACCATATGTTTAAAGAGATTTAGATGAGGAAAGAAAATACAAAGAAAAGAAAACACAGAATACAATATACTTTCCTTTCAATTTGAATTTGAATTATTTTTCACTTTTCTTGATTTCTTTCTACTCATATAAACATAGGATTAGTTTTGTTTTAGTCTTTGCTTTTGACTGTGTATGTGTATTAACTCATCAAATAAAACTGCCACAAAATATAATTTCACGATGTAAAACTTCCAAAAATTTCCTGATAGGTACTCTGCCACAATTTTATTGTCAAATGACGATTTAACAACAGTCATAAATCTTGTTATGGTTTTATTTAAGGGGTTAAACAACCTTGGGTAAAGATAGAATAATACAGTTTTAAATTTGAATCTTATTATTGTTATTATATTTTTTTATGAAGAAAAAAAAAAGTCACTTCTAATAACAAGAACTAACACAAATTTAATAAAGTAGAATGTGTAGAAACTAAATTGTCTAGTTCCTAATTATAAGAATTAAAAAATAAATATAATTAAACTATAAGGATCAAATATAATTAAATTTTATTTTTTGGTATATTTTTTTTAGTTTATAAATCAGATCTAAACAGTATCTCATAATTAACAATCATAAATATAATTAAACTATAAAGATCAAATATAATTAAATTTTATTTTTTGGTATATTTTTTTTAGTTTATGAATCAGATCTAAACAGTTTCTCATAATTAACAATCAATAATTAATATGTAATATTTAGTGTGTGTGTGTTTAATCAATAATTAATATGTAATATTTAGTGTGTCTGTGTCTGTGTCTGTGTCTGTATCTGTGTGTGTCTGTGTGTCTGTGTGTGTCTGTGTGTGTCTGTGTGTCTGTGTGTGTCTGTGTCTGTGTGTCTGTGTGTGTCTGTGTGTCTGTGTGTCTGTGTACAAAGTTAAAATTGATCTAAAAATAAAAATAGAAATAATACAAAGTATCTAATTGTTTGGATAATCAATGATAGAAGTTAATTACAATGAATCGAGACACGAGAGTGTAAAAGTATTTAGATATCAATTAATATATTAATAACTATTATTTATTAAATATATAAAAGTATTTAATTCCTTAAAAAAATGTAATTAACAAGATCGTCTGTTTCTGTCAAACAAACAATTAAGATCGGTTGTTGTTAAATCACAATTAGATAGTTAAAATGGATATGAAAGAAAAAAATTCAAAGAATACAAAGTATCTAATCGTTTAGACTTTAATTAATTAATGATAGAATTTAATTAGAAATGATGAGAGTGTAAAAGTTTCTATGTCATTCTCTAATCATAGATTAACATATGATAAAATTATTAAATTTTGTAATAATTATCTTAAAAGTACAATTTTTAACAGATTAAAAATGCAGTTCTTAAATATAAAAAACGATTCATCTTAACTAAGAAAGTTATTTATTATTATTTAATTATACTAATTATATTTTAAAAATATTTTTTAAACTTTCAGAATTTAAACTATTCTTTATGCAAACTTATATCATAAATGCAAATTAGTTATTGGAGCTGTCACCAATATTTATTAAATTAGGAAAATTTTAAAACATTTTATTAAGAATAAAAATAGTATAAAAAAAGTTATGTTTAAATTAACCCTTTTATTATATTTTATAAGAATATATTAATGATAATATTTATAATAATTTATTTATAAAGGAGGAAAAAAGTGAAATCATCATGTAACAACTTAGACGTCTCAATTTGAAATTATAGAATTAACTTAAAAAATGTTTGTGGATTTTTTTTTTTTACAAAAAGTTATAAATATGGTTGTAATAATTTACTTGTAACAACAAATATAGGGGACTGTCCAGCTATCATGACTCAAATTTTTCAAATCGAAAATGTAGAAATAACAAGACGCCATGCCAAAATTAAGATTTATATTATATAATTAATAATAAAAAGTCACGATTATGAATAAATTCTTACCCAACAATACAATGGGTCGACATTATTATTTACTATGAAGAGGACATTTAGGCCTGAAGAGGCAAATTAAAATAATCTGACATATATCACAACTTTTTCTATATTTGTAGGAATTACAGTGACAGATCATAATACTTAATCAAATAGATAACAAAACCAAAAATATAAACAGGAGAAATAAAATTTAGTTTTAATTTGAATGAAGATGAATATATAAATGCATAAAAGTTATGTACAGCCACATGCAGGTCATACATATTTAAAATAGAACTCCTTGGAAACAAATGGCATATGGACATGATATGAATTCACTTATTTTCACTAAAAGATATCAACAATACAAATGAAAATCCACAACAATAAAATAGATTAAAAAAAAAGGAGCTAGAATCAGGTTCTTAATTTAGATAATTCACATAAAATTATATGTTGGTGTAAAAACGTAGCTTATTAATTTGCACGAAACATTGAGAAAAAAAAAAGGAACAAAAATTAGAAGTAAATACAAAAAAAAAAAAGGACGTAGCATACATATCAAGAATGAACAAAAATGATAACAATAAAAAGATTTTTTTTTTCATAATTCAAGAATGACAATAATAAAAAGAAATATATATATATATATATATATATATAT